AACAATAGCTGGTGGAAATTTATTAGCGTGAATGAAGGAATGCTTTATGTGGTTGACTTCTTTACCTATGTAGTCCGTTTGTAGTTGAATATCAATGAGTGGCATAAGCTTTCATTGGAGGCACATACTGAGAAAAAGTCTATTGGAAAAATGGAGAATTCATTTGGTAAGGAGAAAGTGAGGATTGAGACTGACTACTTGTTATGAAATCCACCATCCCAGAAAAATGATAAGAAAGGAGGCTGATATGATTGGAATAGGCACCATAGAGAAAGAACCAAATTTAAGAGACAACTGGAAATGATCAAATATCTCATGAGGATATTCCCCTGCAAGAGATCTAGACCTTGCACTATTGCCTGTTGGACAGCAAGAAGTTTGAAATTATTGATGCAGAATGAAGATTCGTCCTCCAGTCAGTTACCCTGGAATTTCTGACCTAGAAGATGCAAACCTCATCCCCAAAGTGAAGTACATGTATCTGTGAAAAGATAAAGGTATGGACAGAAGGGCAGTATACATTGATATATCTGCACATACACACACTGGATTCAAATTCCAGATCCATTAGTAGCAATTGGACAAACCAAGCATAAAACTTGGAGAAAACTTGTACAACCCAGCAGAAGACATATGGTGCTAATACTAGACAAAAGGCTAAATCCCTGAACAAAACATAGCTAAAGGCAAGATGAATTCACTATGAGAATGTGGAGAAATGCCTCAGCAACCTCCAACTTGGGCATCCATGGACTTGGTGAAGAATGCCAATGTAGGGTGAGAAAGTATTTCATTGTGGACTGGGTAGGAGTGAAGAATGGGTTGAGATAAGAAAGAACGACGATTGTCTGTGAATCTCCCCTTGTCTCAGGTACAAAGAAACAGGAATAAAATCCTGGAAGAATGAGATCAATTGTCACTACCACCCCCATGATCAATAACTCTGATAGTCGTGAAACGAAAACCCACGCCCCACTGGTCAGGTGGAGGTGGGTGGAAATACCACAGGGTGAGAGGATAATGAAGAATTGAATGGAAAGACCAACCTCGAAACCAGAACCCTAAGTACCCATGGATCTGCACTGAAGGAATACCAGGTGTCCATTAATAGTTGTAACCTCACTCTAACAGACCCCCCTCCCCCCCATCTAGGTTGATACCAACACCATTGGCGTTGGTCGAAGAAGGTCAATAACAACAAAAAAGCAAATGGGTGATGGAGGTGAAAAGCCAAAGCATGCCAACAGACAAACAAGAGTACAAAGTATATCTATCCCATCATGTAATAAAGCAGTAATTCTCTCAACATAAACCAGGAATATCAGGTGAAGAAGGAAAAACTAACTAGTCCCCTCAACCTTTATATCATCCAGGGAGGAGTAGACTCAAAGGTCACAGAGAAAAGCCCAAAAATCTCATAAACCCAAATGACTAATTGAACAAAAGGAGTAAGAGGTAGGTGATCCAAACTGTACTCATGAGAAGCCGACTTAGGAAAGAAAAGCATCAGAAAAAACGAGTCCAAATTCTCCCCAGAAAAACCAGGATGAACAAAAAAAATTCAACTTTAGAGGCTCCAGAAGAAAACGCCCCCAGGCCTAATGTGTCTCCATCTCCCAACAGATCAAAACACAGACAGCCTCAACTGAGAGTGACCCCCCACTCCAACCATAAAGATATGTTAGATAACAAAGGAGGAATGGGGAAGGTCAGATTAACCCCTGTGCTGACAACAGTAATACACAAATTCATACCTGCAAATATCACATCCATTATTGTTGTATTTTTTAATAAAGTATTTAAGTGGGGTATAAAAGACTGGAGCATGCAAGACCAATGCTTAGATAGGCAAAGCCAATGTCAGGAAATGGCTAAAGTGGCAGTGGAGGGTAATTAAGTTTTGGAAATAGTAGTTCAATAAAATTTTGAATGCAAGTCAACATATGCATTATAACATGGTCTTTGACCTGTAACTATAGGGTTAAGCACCTTGGGCATCTAACAAATTCTAAAAAAAGAGGCACTAAAAAGGCAACATCTTTTTTTTTACTCAACAGTCATCACTTTTATGTTAAACACAGCCTTTAGTTTAGATATCTTAATTAGATGATGTTATGCTGAAAAAGTACAGACTTGTGTTGTATTGGGAATGGTACAGAGATAATAGGAAGAGATAGTTGTGTAGTAATGAAGCAGAATTCACTGGACATTACTCTAAATCCAAATTTCATAATTATATTTATTTTGTAATAAGATGCAGAAAATATAGGTAAGCCATATTTTTTTTGTCTTGAAATTCCTCACAACAAGTGATGATAAAAAAGGGCATTCATTTCCATTTTACTTTCAAAATCATGCACAGGGTACTAATAGGGGCGTGGGCACTTAATAGGAGGCATAAGGTAATTATAAGACAGCTCATTATTTTACTTAATCATTACTTTCCAAATAAACAGCAAGAGGCAAAGAAAAAACTATTATGGAAATTTATACATAATACTTTGATACATTTTTTATTGTCAATCTCCAATTGGTTTTGCAGTTTATATAGAAAGCCCAATAATTCATTCCTGTGCTTAAATCACTTTTCAAAGGTACTTTCAAATAGCATCAGGCAATACTCTGAAAAACGCTATCTTCGTTATTATTTCATGTCAGTATTCTAAAATTTAAATCTCTTATCATTAACCCATACAGAATGAGCCACCATACTGAAGAGTTTTTTTTTTTAAATTGTACACTCTCTAATAGTCCTCTAATAGGTTTGTGTGTATATTAGTATTCCAAAAGTAAAAAAACTGTGTGTACACAGAAAAACTTCAAAAAGCACAAGATAAATGTTAAGACCCAAAACATTCACTTACATTTAGGTATCTTCCTATGTTCCCACAAGTTTTAGCATCCATTATATAACAATGTTCTTCATTATAATAAGTTCGAAGGGATAGAAACTTTTTCTCATCTTCTTCAGGTTTGTTGTCAAGACTGCAAGGTTTTTTTGGATCTGACAAACTACCAAATGTTGTGGATTTTGGATGCTGTGTACCTAAGGTTATTAAAATCCAGTTTAAAAAAACATTTAACAGTTAGAAGTTTGTGTAAATTAAAAGTTTTTATTTATCCTAAGATAAACTTCAAGTAAATTTATCATTAAACAAATATTGTGGGTTGTATTTAGAAAAAACAAAGCTTAAATAGATCTACATTAACACTTTCACAACAGGCATCCTTTACTGCTCATGACACAAGGTTTTAGTGTCTTACATTATAACTTTTATTAAACTACTTTTTGTTCATGTTACACCAATTGTCACATAGTTAGAAAGCCAGAAAAAATTTGAGAGTTAGGGAAAATAGTCCACTTTTTGCATGTTATTAGTCTATATTCTTTGGTGCATTGTTTAATCAGATAAAAATTATTTAGTGCCTTACTACCATTAGTATAGAAAACTAGGCTTAAGTTTCATCAATAATCAACAGCAAGAAAAAAGAAGATTGTGTAAGTACTTTATTTCTTGTTTTTTATGTTTATTCTTTATGTCTAATTAT